TGTTTTCAACCTAGGGCCAAAAATGAGGTGTAGCTTCAAAGTAATAAAACTGATTTCTTCAGTTGAATTCTAAAATAACTCAAAGGGGAGTTTTGAAATTGTTTTGCACACTGGAGGCATTATTCAAAGATATATATTATTTTTTCAGATGTATATAATTTTTTAAGTATATTTAAATTGTCCAGAAGTAGCCAGCGAAGGACAGTCCTTATTACTAAGGGCTTCATCTGTCAGTTCGCGTGCTTCCCTAGTCCTATTTCATGCTGCCTCCTATAGAGCTGAATAAGACATGGGCTCCCACTCCCAAGGAACTCCAGAGAAAGAGGCAAATGTGTCTGTAACATAGTGCAGTGAGTGTTTTACTATGAGCACAGATTTGCTTCAAAAGTGTTACTCAGAAATTAAGTAACTCGCTGCTGAGTCATGGGTAAGTTAGAATCTAGTCTAAGTTACGGAAATAGCCACTTCTCCTCTCCTGCCTCAGACCTTTGTGCACACTGGGTATTCTCTCCGCCCGGAATGCTGTTCCCACCCACCCGCCTCCACTCCCAACCTGGCTGAATTCTTCAGGTCCAGCTCAGATGGTACTTCCTTTAGAAGCCTTCCCGCGCTTCTCCAGTCTAAGACTCAACAGCTACTCCCTCATTGGAATCTTTGTGTTTTCTTTAATGAGTTGTTTAATGTTTGTCTCTGTTGTTAACGCAGTCACTTCCTGAGGGCAGTGCTGTGTGTGTTCTGTCCACCGGCGTGTATCCGATCAGTAGGACATCACTCATCGATGGGATGCGTGTTGGCCACGTGCGGGTACTGCACTGAAATGTCGCATACATTGTCTTATTTGGTCCTCAAAACAGTCTTCTGAGGGGTATATTGTTGTGCCCGTTTTCAAGATGATAACGTTAGTTTCCCCCCAAATTCCACAGTTTATCTGTGGTCTCATAGCTAACAAGTGGCAATGCCAGAATTTGAACCCATTTTATAAACTAGCTGTAAACCTTTATTCCTTGGCTACCTGAAGTTAATGGCTCAGTATTTTTGTTTAGTTTTCTATCCGTAATTAGCAAAATACACTGTTGACTAGAATTGTGTTAACTTTTGGTTTTACACATCTGTAACTTCAGTGACATTCACAGTAGGATTCTGAATCATAAAGGAAATTAGAAGGTTGGGATCAGAAATTTAGGTGGAGCGAACTGTAGACATCAAAGCTGCTTGTTTTGCAGACGGAACAGACTAAAACAGTAGGTCACATTCTGGTAAACTAGAAGCTGGGTCCCCAAGTTCCTGGTCTGGCACCAGCATGTTACAATATCTCCATTCTGTTCAGGGGAGTTTCCAAGGACATATTTTTATATTCTTTTTCTCTCTTGGACTGTAGCCCAGAAGGCTATGTTCTCTCGCCACACTAAATAGTAGAGTGGCTCCTGTAGACCCGCTCACCAGATAAGTTACCAGGTAAGGGTAGTTCAGAGACATTTCCATTGGTACGTCTTCAACTTTTCTATTTCATGATTTCATTTCACCATCTCATCGATTCTGTAAGGTAATAAAATCAACTGTGAAATCTCTATCTTGCAGGTGATAAAGAGGCCTGGTGAGAATAAATGAGTTGCCTAAGGAGGTCACAGAGCATGTTAGGAATGAAGCTCTAGAACTCAAGCCTCTAGACCAGGGGTCCCCAGCCTGGCAGGCCACGGACCAGTACCAGTCCACGGCCTGTTAGGAACCGGGCCACACAGCAGGAGGTGAGCGGTGGGTGAGCGAGTAAAGCTCCATCTGTATTCGCAGCCGCTCCCCAGCACTACCATCACCGCCTCAGCTCCGCCTCAGATCATTAGGCATTAAATTTTCATGAGAGCACCAGTCCCTGGCACCAAAAAGGTTGGGGACTGCTACTCTAGACCATGGGTCATTGAACTGTGGCCAACACCACCTGATTTTGTATGTTTACTTGGTACGCAGCCACACCCGTTCATTACTTATTGTCCGTGGCTGTTTTCATGCTGCAACAGCAAAGGTTAATAGTTGTGATAGACGTTATGGACCACAAAACCTGAATATAGACCACCTGGCCATTTCCAAAAGAAGTTCGCTGGTGCCTGCCCTGGGCTCCTGGCACTTTGGCCCTCGTTCTTTCGACCTCTGAGCGGGCTTACTGCCCTTCAAGCTGTCCTCGCTCCACAACTCCATTTCACAGGAAGGGATCTACGTCTCGGGGTCTTTTTCCATTGAACAGATGTTCTAAACCTGCAAGATTTCATGCCAGTTTTTCAGGACAAAAGTCATAAAACTTTTCAAAGTCAGAAATTAACTTCTAGAATATGTCATGAGGCCATATAAAACAGTAATCAACAGTAAGACCAAATGCGCAGTGAGTACAGTTAATGACGGTGTCATCTGGAGGTTGGAGACCGATCATGTGTTCTGTATCGGGTGCTTGGACCCTGAGAACAGAGTGTGAAGCTTTGTATTTGTGATGCTCCAGGTGTGATCCCTGCACCAGCAACACCACGTGGCCCAGAAGGTTGTTGATAAAGCAGTTGCACGGGCTCTACCCTAGAACTGCTAGGTCTGTAATTCTAGGGACGAGGCCTTGACCTTAGTCTTTTAACAAGACCTTCACGTGACTCTGATGAACACTGAACCTAGACAACCATAATGAGAACTCACAGGTTGCATTTCTAGCAATTTCCCAGATAACACTGACACTGGCAGTCTGAGGACCACACTTTGAGTCAAACAGTGGCTCTAGACACTAGAACAAGAAATTAGGACGTAGGCCAAGAAAAGCATTTCTTCAGTTGTTGAGATGCTATTGAGGATCTCGATTCTCAAGAGTATAAAATAGACGTTTTGGGATAGTTTTACTTCATATTTTAATTTTTAAAAAGGCAAATTGCAGAGAATAATAAAACTACCACCTCAATACCAACCCTCCAGCTTTAGCAGATCTCAGCATTTTGCCTTTTGCTTATTTTTTGTTTCCAAGAAATTACAGAATAGGCAAAGGAAGCCTTCTGTGTAGCCTTCCAGATTCTAGTTCCTCACGCTCTTTGTCTAGCAAGCCATCGTGAGTTTGTGCATCACACGCATACTTGTTTTCATAATTTTACTTCATCTGTAATATGCACTTACATTTTCAGACTTTACATAACTGATCTCGTAACACAATTCTCAACTTTTTTTCTCTGGAAACTGTGAATACTGTACATGTTGATGGCATGGAACTTTATTTTATCTGCTATGTAATTAAGCCATAATTTATTAATCCATTTTCTTTAGTAGGCATTGGGATTGTTCCTGGTTTTTTCACTATTTCACAGAGCGCTGCAGGAAATATTCTGGACGTGTCTTCATGTGAGCAGTAGGTCCTTGAACATCTTGGATTAGGGGCACTGGCTCCCCTTGCAGTCAGAAATCCGTGTGTAACTTTTGAGTCCCCAGAAACTTAAGTTGTCCCTCAGTATCCACGGGACACTGGTTCCAGGACCCCCTTGGATGCCACAGTCCAAGGGTGCTCCAGTCCCCTCGATGAAACGGCGCAGGTCAGTGCACAGTTGGCCCTCGCATCCGCGGACTCCCAGTTGTGAATCGAAAGCATTACAAGTGTTGATTGGAAAAAATGCTCATAAGTGGGTCCATGCAGTTCATACCCTTGTGGTTCAAGGTCAGCTGCACTGTGTGGAAAGAAGTTTCCCGGTGCGTGTCTGCAGTAGGGCAGCTGGGGAGTGGGGCGAAGGCGTCTTCTGCCTCACCGGATACTGCAGTTGTCTCATCCACCTGCCAGGTGTGAGCGTCTGTTTCTCTACATTGGCATCGAACTTGACTCTTTCAGATGCTAATGTTTGCTAATCAGAGACATGTGAAACGTCTTCTAGTTTTTAAATTTATAATTCCCAGAGTTCTAGGGAGCTTGAGCTAGTATTCATGTTTCTTGACATTTTGGGTTTCCTTTGGGAATTATTTGCGATATCCTATACTCATTTCTATTGGGTTATTTGCCTTATGTGAATTTGTAGGTGTTCTTTATGTAATCTTTGTTAATACTTCATGAGTTATTTGTGTTTCACGTACTTTATCTCAGTCAATAGCTAGTCTTTTAACTTTGCTT